GTATCAGTGTACTAGCTGGCATTGTTGTGACAGGCTGTGTTTGGCTTCAGTTAATTTTTTTAAAGACTCTTTCAACATGTTTGCCCATTTCATGATGGGTGATATATGACCACACCTGCCCACACTGTGATGAGTGTTCAGCAGTTTTTGACCCAAAACAACATGACCCTCAAGCCCCACCCCACCTTTTCACCCAATCTCACCCCAAGCAACGTTTTTTTGTTTCCCTGGATGAAAAAAATTCTCAAAGGGAAACATTTTGCCAATGTGAAAGATAAAATGGCAGAAGCACTAAAAAACATCAAAATTGATGAGTTCAGAAACTTTTGAGCAGTAGAAAAAATGTCTCAATAGGTGTATTGCATCAAATGGAGAGTGCTTTAATGGTGACCGAAGTTTAAACATGTAAGAATAAATACACAATTTTTAATAAATAAATTCTGGGTTTTTTGGGTCCCCCCCTTGAAAATATTATATGGGTATATGTATATAAGGTGTATGAGGGTATGCATGTTTGCTTGAACTATTTTTTTAAAAATATTTCTCTACATCCAGAAACAGTCAAATCAAAAAAATTATTATTAACATTACGCAATGAAGAAACTAAACTCAAACTGGTAGTGGATATTAAGTAATGAAAAAATGGGAATGATTTAAAAAGCTGAGATAAGAAATAGAACAAAATTTGGCAAACAAGGTGAAAATAATCAATAGAATTGTTTCTCTTTGTACATTAATGAACATATTTGCCTGTTTTGTAATTTAAAACTAAACTTATTAATAATATTTTGATTGGTATATGGTCAATCATATGATCAATGTCTTTGGCAACATACACAAACAAATTATTCCTCAAGTAATCTTAGAAAGGAAGACTCAAGAGGAATGTGGAAAGGTAGTAACAGGTTACATATATACCAGAGAAAGTACATAATGAATTGTTTTAGTGATGCATTTTTAAGTGAGAATAATCTTGAAGTTTCCATTTTGTAAATTGAGCTAAAATGTCAATGACTTATCAAAACAAACCAACAACAAACAAAATATATATTTTCTAATTACGTTTTGGAATCATTGCATTCTGCAATTTGTTTTTAAGGTTTACCTTTTTCCACCAGGATTTTTTGATAATTAATGAGAAAAAGCTGTGATTTTTTAGTGACCATTATTAACAATAATGGAAACTGTGTTTGGGTGTACCCCTAGTTTCCTCTGAGTTTTCTAGGGATTGAAAGGAGAACTGGGTAAAGTGGAGGGAAATGTTGATGAATTTGTTTTCAAATTTCACATGTTCAGGGAAATAAAAATTTTATTTACCTGAAATTCATGTGGCAGGATATCATCTTCCCCTCTCCCTCTCTCTTTACCTCACTCTAGCTTGAGGCTGAACTCAAGTAATGTTTTTCCTCTTTTCCGAAGCAAAAAATTAACATTATCATAGGTTGTCTAGTCTATTCCAATTAAATGAAGCATTTCTGTGGGTGATTAGAAAATATTTCTGTGGAATGTGGAGGGTATAGGAAAGGGCAAGATTTTCAGAACTATTTTAAAAATATGCTTTCTTTGGCAAATGAAGTACTGTTTACTATTTATATGAGCAGGAGCCATTTCCTTAGAATATCTGGATCCCACATAAAAGTAATGAAGAGAACATAAAAATTATGGAATAACTTGTATAATAACCTACTTACCTCTTATCAACTTTTACTTAGTATCTCAATATTCAGTAGGAAAATTATTTAATGTTTGAAATATGATAGCCCATGAGATATTATAGGACATGTTAATGGTTTTATGGAAATTTACACTTGGTTCCATTAGTTCTACATGTACACAAAACACACTTACCATTGAGATATAAATGGAGAACAGTGAACACCATGAGGTTCTCTTACAACGTACCACTTACATGTCAGCTGAAGCATATTTTCCCAGTAATGCAAACATTTTAGTTACTCAGAGCTTCTGCAGAAATGAATATCAAACTAAAAAATAATAATCAATAATATCTAATTTGTATCATGCATTATTCTAAGTAATTTATACAAATAGAGTCTTTTTAAAAATCAGTCCAAAGATGCATGTAGTGTTATTATTCTAATGTGGTAGGCAGAATTATAAGATGTTCCCTATAACTCTCATCTCCTGGTATCCACTTGTTTTGGTAGTCCCCTCTCACTGAGTACAGGTGGAAACTGTGGCTTACCTCTAACCAATAAATATGGCAAAGGTGAAGGGAATTTGCAGGTAAAATTAAGGTACTTAATCAGCTGACATGGAATTAATCACGAGGGGAAATATCCTAGGTAGGACTGATGGTATCAACTGAACCCTTTGAAAGAGACCTCATGCTTTCCCAGAGAGAAGAGACTTGAAGTAGGAGACACTCCTGTTTGCATAGAAGCTGCCAGCCATTTGAGACCCCCTGAGGAAAGAGACAGTCCTCAGGGCTGAGGGTTTCTGTTCCACATCTGCGCAAAACTGAATTCTGTCAACAACTCAAGTGAGTTTTGGAGAGGACTCCCTGCTCTGGAAGAGGGTGGAACCTGATCAATGTCACAGGGTTCGTGATACAGCCCATTTTGCAGATAAGGAAACTAAAGAAATAATTTGTACTCCATTGTAGCTAGTTCTATGGGAAACCAAGAGTCAATCCCAGGCAGCCAGATCCAGAGCTACATGGATAACCAATTTGGTATAATTTTTAAAACTTGATTGAAGACCCACAGGCAACATGAGCATAATATATCAAATACCTAGTATTGAATATATGATGACTATTAAAAATTGTATCTAGTAAAACTGTCCAGCAAAACAAAATTATTCTGAGAAGGAATGGATTCATTTTCTACATATTTGATTTGAGCAGTAGAGTTAAGATGTTTCGTATTGCAGATTATTGTGATTTAAAACAGAATATTCTGCAAATTATAGATTGCTAATTAAATTATATTAACACTTTTTCAAAATGTTTTTAGTTTCTGTATGCAAAGTCTATTTTGACAGTTTTGATAAAATTAAAACTTTTGCTTAATTTATATAATGAAAAGAAAATCTAATTTTTCAGAAAAGATATATTTATAGTAGTCTCTGTGGTGTTAAGGGGGCAAAGTGATTTCTTTGGAAATGTAAAAGTTAACTACCATAAAAGTATTTTTAAATAGTATTTCCCAAAGTAACTTGAGTTCCACAAGGATTGTTCTTGACACGTCAAATTCCTTCATATTAAAAAATTGAAAGACCCATTTTTTAATCCTTTGGTGTGCAAATGAAGGTCTCAGTTAACTAAAATTAAATAGTCTATTATAAACTGGTAGGCCATGAGCAATTTTACTTGAGCTACAAATTGCTTTCTTGTGAGTTAATATCTAAATAATGTTTTTAGGTTAAGCCATTAATTAAAACAAGCTGTTTTGATTTACGTGTGACAATTATGGTTAGTGAATCTTATTGGAAAAAATTATGTTTCAAGGACTGGACTTTAGTAGTAGGGTGGTTAGAATGATAATCCATTAGCATGACAAAATAACACCAACTCTGCTGTCTTTCAATATAATACACATTTGTTTAAAGTCGTACCCTATTTATAGTTAACTACTGATTTAATACAGTTTCCATAAGCCCCTAACCTCAGTTCCACTTACAGTACAATACTAATTAAGCACTTGTGGAGTTTCTCATTACCTGTACAAATAATGTGGTCACTGTAAAGTCACAAAATAAACTGTGCTAATAAACTGACTCAAGCACATAGGCAACCCTTTGCAATACCACAGGGACACAATTAGATGTTCCACTAATTAGATGTTCCTCTAACAATAGAGGGAGGTAATTTGATGATTAAGAGTATTTGTCTTTTTATCCTGCTTATCAAATCAATAGCCGAGTCCTTCTTGAATATTTATTCACTGCATAGCATTATATTGACTTTTCTTTGCATAGTCTCATCAGATAGGTAGAAACTGCATACATTGGTAGTTTAATTAGTTGATAGCATGAAGATCCTACCACAGGTAAACAAAATGAAAATCAATCTAATGAATTCGAAAATATTAAGGATGGTTAGCGTTAAAGATTTCCACTTACCATCACTTTTTCTCCTCAACTTTCCCTTTACCCCTTATCCATTGACTCATCTATCCCCCACTCCTAAATTCTAGAAGAATGTTCTTTTGTTGCTATAGCCCAAGGTTAGAAATATGTACTGAATAAAGAAATAAATCCTGAGGTTAAATAAATGGTGAAGAGTTTTCTCCAGGAAACCATTTGAGGGCACCAAGGAGGCCTCTTGATATGCTGACCATGAGAGGGTTTTCCAGTAAATAGTTATATGCAGGACTAACATATACAATGAGCCAATTTCTTTTTGACTTTCATGTTCAATTGTGGCAAACCACAGGCCACTGAAATCTTTGATCCACTTTGTCTCCTTGTCTGTGCAACCGAGTAATGACCTTGACTTCTTTTTCTGAATTATTTTTCAGTCTTGGAGATGCTGCTGTGGACACTTGCCAGGTCCTTCTCATATAATACTTTTAGTCAATCAATAACTATCCAACTAAAAAATGGCATAATGTCATTATAAAATAAAGTGAAGCACATTTGCAAAGCCAAATACAGAGATAGAGTAAGATAATGAAAAAGTGGCTTCTAGTTCTCAATCAAATTTTTAGTACAATTGTGTTATTAAATGAGATTGCTCTTAAGTGAGCTCTTAGCCCAGAACATAAACAGTTTGCATAAAGTCTCGATCAGCATATTTCCTCATATGACATTTTCTCTTTTCTGGAAAAAGAAAAATCCTAGAGATTTCAGGGGGAGACACCAGAATTCTCACTATTATCTCTAAAGTAGAATTAACTTAGCAAAACATTTATGCTAAATAAACCTACATTACTTTACTTGCCTATAGATTTCTATGCTTCTCCTATTACTCATCATGGCATAAAATTAAGATAAGGCTCATGTTCCATGCCAAGGACTCATCAAAGACTGCCTCTCTATGAAGTCTGCCTCCTTGACAAGATGGCCTTACTTCTGCCACAACAATGTCTGTCAAAGTGGCTGGCCATAAAAGCACCAGCACCACACTCATCTGAAGGACACCCCTGTCGAAGGCAACTCATTTTGCCATCTTCATAGCAAAATATTTGTGCTTTGTAATATTTCAGGACAGCCAGCTTAACCTCCTTTCTCTTATGCTTATTCTCCTTGGTTTTGGTGTAAGATTTCTTCCTTTTCTTAGCACCACCATGAAGTGTCAACACAAGATGAAGAGGGGACACCTTTTGAATGTTGTAGTCAGACAAAGCACACTCATATTCCAGTTGCTTGCCAGCAAAGATCAGTCTTTGCTGATCAGGAGGAATTCCTTCCTTATCCTGGACCTTGACCTTTACATTTTTTATTGTATTTGAGGGCTCAGCCTCGAGAATGAGAGACTGTCCTGTAAGGGTTTGCATGAAAATCTGCATCTTGGTGGTGATTGCACTGCAGATGGCAGGTTGGAAAGCGATTGTAGTGATTCTTAAAACACCGATTAGTGACAAATAAGTGCCGTGAGTACAGCATGGTGACTATAGTTAACAATACTCTATATTTAAAAGTAGCTAAGAGAGTAGATCTTAAAAGTTCTCATCGCAGGAAAAAGAATTTATAATTGTGTGAAGATGAATTGTGGTAATCATTTAGTAATATGATTACCATATTATGTGATAGTAACACATATCAATGGTATATACCTAAAATTAATACAAAGTTATGTCAGTTATGTTTTGATAAAACTTAGTTGTGTACTATTTTGAATATCATATATGCATTCATTTAAATGTCACAATAGTTCTATTAGGTGAGTATTATTAACTGATTTACATATGAGAAATGCATATCATAGAGGGTTTAAGATCATACAGGAGGTGGTGAGTCAGAGATTTGACCTTGATTACTAACTTCAGAGTTCCTACTTTTAACTATTAGATTATTGCTATGGATTGAATTACTTCCCCCTAAAATTCATGTTGAAACTCTAACCCCCAAAGGTCTGTATTTAGAGATACGACTTTTAGGAGGTAATTAAGGGCTAAATGAGGTAATAATCTAATAGTATTAGTGGCTTTATGAGACAAAGAAGAGAAATCTCTTACTCTCCACAAGCACAGGACCAGAAGGCAGAGAGCTGTACCGTGCTGGGACCCTGTTCTCAGACTTCCAGCCTCCAGACCTGTAAGAAAATCAATTTGTACAGTCTATGAGATTTGGTTATAGTGGCCTAATCTGACTAAAACAATTATTTTTTCCCTAAAATGTGGACTGTAATTTAATATGTTTCAATATTGTATATTTTGTAAACTTCTTGAATGGTATTAGTTTCTTTCTAGTTTATATATTTGTCTTCGATTAAGTAAAGGCAAAAGGCACACAAAACTCTTATTTATTAAAAAAAAGTGTGCCGGCCTCACTGGATTCCTTGGCTTCTCAGGGTACGGCAGTGTCTGAGTTATGAAGGCATTAGAGATTATGTTAATCTGGTACTTCTAGAAAAAGTGATAAAAATATTATTAGATTCATTTTCTTCCTATCGCATTGCTTTACTATGAATTTTATTTCCATTTCTGCTGTAATTTAAATCACACTCTTTGACACAGAAATATTTGGTCATTCAAATGGATTTTTGAACTTCAAAGTGATAACCTTGATTTAGGCAAGTTTATTCAGATTATTCAAAATTCTAAGTGCTCTTTAGGTTGTTCAAATTGGGAAAATTTTCCAGGAGAAACAGAATCTGCTAATGAAATAGAATGTCAAGTAATTAATAAATAGATGTCCTACATTCAACTGGGTAGAAAGATGAGAAACTGGCAGTATTTCTGAAATATAGATAGAAATTACTTATGACAATACAAATTAACCTGAATACAGCACAAACAAGAAATTTTTAGTTAACACATGCCCTATCATCCAAGGATTAAGTATATTTTTTTATTAAAGTATATCATATCTATAGTAATGTGTATAAATGTTAAGTGCACAACTCAGTGAATTTTAGACTCAGATTAATATATGGAACACTACTACAGAATACTCCTACCCTGACTGGTCTGGCTTAGTTGATTGGCTGTCATCTTGTGAACCAAAAGATCTCAGGTTTGATTCCCGGTCAGGGCACATGCCTGGGTTGTGGGTGAGGTCCTTGATTGGGGGCATGTGAGAGGCATCTGATCAATGTTTCTCTTCCACTCTTTCTCCCTCCCTTCCTGTCTTTCTAAAAATGAATAAATAAAATCTTTAAAAAAAACAATACTTATTACTGTTCTCAATCAATAACCTCAAATAACCAATTCCTATCAGCATGTATTACTTTTGATTATATTTGAATTTCACGTAAGTACTCTTGTGTCTGGCTTCTTTTGTTCAATGTTATGTCTGTCAGATTCATCCATTTTATTATAGGCAGCAGTTCATTTTTAAATTTTAATTATTCTGGAGTATTCAATTGTATTAATATACTACATTTTATCCATTTTCTCTCTAGATGGTATTTCCAGTTTTTAAATATTATAAATTATTTTGTTTTTTACAAGAACATATACGTTCTACATTCTTAGTAAATTTCAATTACACAATACATGTTATCAACTATAGTCATGTGTTATAAATTAGATCATCAACCTTTATTCATATTATAGCTTAAAGTTTGTAGCTTTTTCCTAACCTTTCCATGTTTTTCCTACCCCCAGGCTCTGGCAAACACTTTTCTACTCTGTATCTGTGTGTTGGACTTCTTTTTATTAGATTCCACATATAAACAGTGATACCATAAGGTATGTCTTCCTGTGGCTGGCTTACTTCATTTAGCATGAAATAAGCATCTCCCCAAGCTCCATCCACATTGTCACAAATGTCAGGAATTCATTCTTTTGCATAATAGTCACACACACACACACACACACACACACACACACACACAACACACCCCCCCCCCACCATGTCTTGCATCTTGTGTGTATGTGTGCACATCCAAATTCTGTCTGGAAAAAGTCCAGCCATTGTTAATATAATGAGAATGGTTTGTACAACATTAAAGTAACCTGGCAGCCATTAACTGGAATGTGTATATGGGAACAATGATGACTTCACTGTACTAGTCTTTGGGGGAGGTAGACGCCATAGAATGAGCGTATGTACTGTGTGGCCGTCACATTGAAAATGACTGACCAAGTAGAGCAACAAATTTGCATCAGATTTTGCATTAAGCTTGAACATTCCTCCATGGAAACTATTTGGATGACTCAGCAGGCTGCAGCTATGGGTAACCAGTGATTGGCAGCCTCATTCATGACAACATGCCCACTCATGCATCATATCTCATGCAGAGTTTTTTGGTGAAACATCAAATCACCTAAGTGATTCAGCCCCCTATTGCCCCACTACAGCCCAGATTTGGTGATCTGCCACTTTTGGTTTTTCCCAAGACTAAAATCACCTTTGAAAGGGAATAGATTTCAGACTGTCAATGAGATTCAGGAAAATATGATGGGGCAGCTGATGGCAATTGGGAGAACTCTGTGAGGTCCCAAGGTGCCTACTTTGAAGGGGACTGTGGTGTCATTGTCCTATGTACAATGTTTCTTGTATCCTGTTCAATAAATATCTCTATTTTTCATAGTACATGGCTTGATACCTTCTGGACAGACCTTGGTTATATGTCACATATTCATTCATTCATTCATTTATTCACTCATAGACACTTGGGTTATTTTATACCTTTCCTATTGTGAGCAGAGCTGCAATGAATATGGGGATGCTGATAATACTGTTTTCATTTCCTTTGGTTATATACCTAAAAGTGGGACTGCTTGGATGAACATATGGTAGTTTTATTTTTAATTTATCAGGAACCTCCATACTGTTTTGCATAATGGCTGTATCAAATTACATTCCCAGAAATAGTATGCAAGTATTCCTTTTTTTTTAATGTATCTTCACATTTAACTCTTGTCTCTTTGATGATAAACATTCTAACAGGTGTGAGGAAATATCTCATTGTGGTTTGGATTTTTATGTCTCTATTAGTTAGTGATATTGAGTACATTTTCATGTACTGATAGCCATTTGTATATCTTCTTAGGGAAAATGTCTGTTCGGTTCTTCTGCCCTTATTAAAATCAGATTTTTTTCTTCGCTATTGAGTTGCATGAGTTCATTATATATTTTAGATATTAACCTCTTCTCAGAAATATTATTCACAAATATTTCCCCATGCTGCAGTTTGCCTTTTCATTTTGTTGATGACTTTCTTTGCTGTACAGAAGTTTTTAAATTTGGTATTACCCTATTTGTTTATTTTTGCTTTGTTGCCTTTGTTTTTGTGTCATCTAAAACATCATTGCCAAGATCAATGTTGAGGAGCTTACCTATATTTTCTTCTAGGAGTTTATACAGTTTTGTGTCTTAAATTTAGGTTTTTAATTCATTCTGAGTTGATTTTTGTATGTAGTGTAAGATAGGGGTCCTGTTTCATTCTTTTGTATGTAAATACCTAGTTTTCCAAACACTTTATTAAATAGACTATTCTTTCCTTCTTGTATATTTTTTGGCTTTTTTGTTATAAATTAGTTGACCATATATGCACAAGTGTCTTTCTGGAATCGCTATTCTGTTCCATTAATCTGTATGTCTGTTTTAATGCCAGTACCATTCTGTTTTGATCACTATAGTTTTGTAATATAGTTTCAAGCTAGAAAAGTGTGATGCCTCTGGCTTCTTCTTTCTCATGATTGCTTTGGCTATTTGGAGTCTTTTGTGGTTCCATACAAATTTTAGAATTGTTTTAACTATTTCTGTAAAAATAAAATTGAAATTTTCATAGGGATTATATTGAATCTGTAGATTGCTTTGGGTAGAATTAACAATATTAATTCTTCAAGTCCATGAGCATGGAACATCTCTCTGTTTATTTGTGTTGTTTTCAATTACTTCATTAAAATTTTACAGTTATCAGTATACATATTTTTCACTTCCTTGGTTAAATATATTCCTAAGTGTTTTTTAATGATATTGTAATGGGAATATTTTTTTATTCTTATTTATTCTACTACAGTTGACTCAATTTTTCCCCCTTTGCTCTCCTCCACCCAGTCCACCCCCTTTCCCACAGTCAATCTCCACACCATTCTCCATGTTCATGAGTCATTCACACACATTCTTTGACTAATCCCTTCCCTTTCTTTCCACCATTCCTTGCTTCTCTCCTTTCCTCTAGCAGGTGTCAGTCTGTTCCATGTCTCTGGTTCTGTTCTGCTCATTAGTTTATTTTGTTCATTAGATTCCTCTTATAAGTGAGATCATATGGTATCTGTCTTTCACCGACTCCCTTATTTCACTTAGCATAATTGATTCCAGTTCCATCCATGCTGTTGCAAGAGGAGGAATTCTTTCTTTCTGCTGCATAGTATCACATTATGTAAATGTACCA